GAAACTCAAAACAAAGATTTGGGTTTTTAAATGTTAGGATTTTAATAAGGATTAAATTGGATCATAATTTTCCTTCTAAATCCCACTAACCTCCTCTTAAAGCTAAAGGTGAATATAAAAATAAAATTCCCGGTTCAAGTGCTTTTAATTTTTTTGAAATATTTATTCCCAGAACCATTATTTCTTAAGCTTTGGATCACTATTAAATTTGAGTTTAAGTTTGGGTCTTTGCTGTTCTTTTCCCCACTTGTCTAAAGTTTCTACTACCAAGGACTGGGCCTCACCCAAAGCAATGGGGCTGTTTATTGAACTGAATTTGGTTTGAGCAAAAATGAAGACCAGAGGTTACTCAATTTTGTTTTGAGTGGCAAGTTTTCCATTTGTTTTGGAAGATGGCATAGTCTAGGGGCAAAAGGGACCAAAAACAGTGTTCCACGGTAGAGTATCTACAGTGGAAAAAATGCTTTGTCCAGCTTTTATATGTATGTGGTGGAAAAAATGAGTGTCTCTGAGTCATGGGAAGAAAAATGGCAGTACATTTCCAAATCTGTTTGAGTTCTTGAAGAAATGAGGATAATATACACAGATGGATTTAAAAAATGTAAAAAGTGAAAAACTGTAATGAATCGACTTGGAATTGTGTTAAACAGGCCAGCTTGTGTATTTTATAGAAACGACAACCTTTCCATCAGTTAACTGAAGGCCACAACCTTATAATTTGACCTTTAAATTGATTAGTATTTCTGGTAGTTATTAAAAAGTTGATATCCTTAGAGCTTAAAAAAAAAAAGAAGCTGCTGTTGAGTTGATTTCAACCCATGGTGTCCCCATGTGTGTCATAGTGGAACTGTGCTCCATAAGGTTTTCAATTGCTGATTTTTCAGAAGCAGGTTGCCGGAACTTTCTTCCGAGGTGCCTCTGGGTGAACTTGAACCTCCAACCTTTCAGTTAGTAGCTTAGTATATTAACCATTTTTACCACCCAGGGACTGCCCTAAGAGCTTAGTGCTGAAAAATCCTCAGTGGGATATTCCAAATGGCAAAAAATGAGAGCATCCATCTATAACACAATCATTAAATGGACAAACTCCTCACCCCAAATTATGGAGTAATGCCTGTGGGATTAAACAAAATCTGCAGTGCATGTTGTAAAATATCCTCCATACTGGTAAGTCATCATATTTCAAATGACTTTTAAGTAATATTAAAAAAAATCACATCCTTCTTCAGAGCCAATTCTGATGAAGAAGAAGATGGGTAACATAAAGCTAATATTTATTGAATGGTTACTATGTACCAGGTAATGCTGTTCTCAGCCCTGTACATATATTAAATCACTCAATACACATAATAACTTGAGGATCATTCCTAGTTTACTGTTGAGGAAATTAAAGTACAGAGAAGTTAAGAAATGTGCCAAGGCTATATACCTAGTAAGTGGCAAAGCAGTGATTTGAACCCAGAGAGTCTGAGACATGCCATTTGGGACAAAAATGTAGTCAAAGGCTAAGATTCTTGAACAACCAGAAAACAATTTCACAACAAGAATAACATTGTTATTGGCACAAGTGTTGTCCTTCATTGTAGTCACCTTGACAGTTAAACCTTCTTTTGGCTGTGTAAGTGTTAGCATGCCTGTGTGTGTGCACGTATGAATATATGGAGTGCAAGTGTATTTCTTTATATACAAATACTTCTTTATGATCTCAAATGTTAACTTTTGAAAAGTTAAGGGATAATTCACGAAGCAAGTTTTTTTCTGTACTATCAGAAGTTGATGCATTAGAAAGAATCAGAATGGATTTTCTAGTCCCATCATGCCTGATATGAAAATGTAGGAATCCTATGTACTTTCTGACCTCCCTCCCACAAATTCTGTTTCAATAATTGTTAGATGATGAGTGGGAATGGATTAGGTTAGTTCCTAAACTACCTGGTCTACTGAAGGAAATAGTTCCCTTAGGCCAGAGAGATGATTAATTGCTTAGGATTGAACTTTTAAATAAATTTGTAACAAGTGTAGAAGATGATAAGGTTGTAGTCACAGAGCAAAGAATGACACATAAGCTTGGGAGTGTGCACGTAGTGTTTCTGTGGGTAAGACAAATACAGAATGAAATGTGAAAATTTAGTTAGTGATAAAGCCATCTGTTTTTAGTGTTAATGAACTATCATACGGCTACATGATTATAGGAACTCAAAATGCCCAAATTCCATCAGATGTGATTTGATATCTAAATAAACATTTTAAACTCAACATGTTGAAAACTGAACTCCTGATCTTATTCTCCAAATACACTCTACCTGTGGCTTTCGTCATTTCAACTATGGTCACCTTTCTAGTTGCTCAGGCCCAAACCATGAAGTCATTCTTGCTGCTTCTCCTTCTTCCACACCTCACCACATCTAGTTTATAGCATTTTTAAACATGAACCCCAAACCAGTGTCTCTGTAATGGGGGTGAAAATCTAGGCTCAATTATCAAAGATGTTAAGTAATAAGTTTCAAGCTTTTGGTTTCCTTCTTTTTGAACTTCATTCATTCTGCTGGCTAGAGACTGAGTCTCTTATTTTAGACCTTAAATAGACTAGTTCTTCTGATTGGAAAGTACTTTAAAGTAGCTACCAATGATTTTAAGTTTAACATTGAGATTCTTTATTGAGAAACTGTATTGTAAGAAAGGTATGAAACTACCGCTTCTCCCTCAAATTTCATAACACAGGTCAGGAGCTGCCACCTCCCCCAGAGAATTTGGCAAAACAGGTCAGGAGCTGCCACCTCCCCCTGAGAATCTGGCAAAACAGAGCACTATTTTCCAGGTTTTCTCTGAGCCACAAAAAGGCTGAATTTTGCGGCTTACAGTGACTTAAAACTCTTTGAAAATAGAATTACCTCTTTAATGTTTCAAATGCCCGAATCTGGACCTAAACTGCAATATACCTAAAGGGTTACTAAATGTCACTCTTAACCAAACGATCAAGCAAAAATCTAAGAACGATTATCCTTAATCAAACAACTGGTTTTTCAAACAAATATGCCAAACAAAACTTAAGAAAATGTGAGAAAGAGAACAACAAAGAATAAGGAAAGACTCGTTTTCCGAGAGCATTCACCCTGTTGGTGTCGAAGGGACACGGAGTGGGAACACGTAGGCCCAGAAGATAGGACCTCTCTTTGCTCCACAGTCCAGGTCTCCTCAAGGTTGACTGGATTTGTAGCTTCAGAAATCCTTGATGACTACGCCATTAACTGTTGTAGGGGAAAAACATCACAAAGTTTAGTAAAGCAAAAAGAAAGTTTTGTTTGGCATATATTCAAAAAGTCAAAAGTGGAAAACAGAAAACCATGCTGCCAGAGCCATGTCTACCTGATTCCAAGGAAATATCACAGAACAGACAAAAGTGGGAAAACGAACAAGCATGCTGCTAGAGCCATGTCGGTCCAAGTCCGAAGAATATTACAGAACAGGCAAGAATGGGAAAATGGACAAGCATGCTGCCACAGCCATGTCTGCCCGAGTCCCTCACCACATCTAATTCCTCAGAAACTATGTTGGTTTTACTTTCAAAATATACCCAGGATTTGACCACTGTTCATCACCTGTACAGCTTCTGGCCGCTCTCCTCTGCTATCCCTTTCCTGGATTATTGCCGTAGCCTCCTGACAGGTCTCCCTGCTTCCCCTCTTGACCTTTCACAATCTATTCTTCCACAGAAGCCAGAAGATCCTGTTAAGATGTAAGTCATACTAGGTCCCTCCTCACCTAAAGCCCTACAATGACTTTGTTTGACTCAGGTAAGATCTTCACTGAAGTAAAAACCTTCTACCCTACAAGACTTGACCTCCCGTTATGTTTCCAACCTCATCTCCTTTTATTCTTCCACTTACTTATTCTGCTCCAGCCACACTGGCCTCCTGGCTGTTCCTTCTGCCTGGATGCTCTTCACATGGCTCATCATTCACCTCCCTCCAGCCTTTCCTCAAATGAGTCTCCTATTTAACATTCTCCCACTCCTGATGCCCCATTATCTTGCTTTATTTTATTTTTTTTCATAGTGCCTGTAATGTTCTACTATATGATACAGTTCGTTTCTTTGTTTTGTCTGTCGTTTCTTCTCTGTGTCCCCATGACCCCTCTCCTAGGCTCCATGAGGACAGGAATCTTTGTTTTGTTTACTGATGTAATCCAAGCATCCAGAACATTGCCTGGAACATAGTAGATGCTCAATAAATATCTGACGAATTGTTGAATTAAGATGTTTGAGTAATATAAGTAGATTTTAAATGTAATTAGAAACCAGAGCTTATTGTCTGAACATTACTCAGGTACCATTCTAGATGTGAAAAAGCAAAAATAAACATTGCGAGGTTATAGGAACCAGATATCTGTTTTCATGGAAGACAGATAGGATAAAGGAGAATTAGAAAAAAGTGTGATGTGTGTTTTTTTCTCAAATATTTAAAAGCAGATGAAATAATTTGTTATGAATACCAAAAAACCCCAAACCAGTTGCTGTGAAATTGATTCTGACTCATAGAGACCCCATGTGTGTCAGAGTAGAGCTGTACTCCAACGTTACAAATAGAAATCCTTAAATTAACCCTACAAGGTAGGTTCTGGGATTATCTGAGGCTCCATGTAAAGCACTTAGCATGTGCCAAGCATACAGAAGGTACTTTATATAAATTGTTACTATGCTTAGATAAATATATATGCACTTAAAATAATTATTTTTGATGAATAATTATGAATCCTATTTTTTTAATTGAAATCTCATAAACCTCATAAATTAAACACTATAGCATGTCCTGCATTTCATCTGGTATTTAATTACATATCTATTTTGAACCAAGAAACCTCATGCTTTAAAAACTCTAGTGAATGGCTTTAGTTTTTATATCATTGTGCAAGTGGCAAGGGTGATGTGTAGTTACCCAGTTTACTAATGTGGTGTGGTTGGAATTGGTCCTCGCAATATCTATGGTCCTCTTCTTTTTAAGGTGTGGGTGAATTCTGTTACTGAGATAACCCGTGGTGACCTCTGTGCAGAAGATGGGGACTCCTCCCCTCAGGACCTGGCCTATTGGGTCACTCCACCCAGCAATGGGCATTTGGCTCTCAAGTTCTTCCCTGACCGAAGCATCCAGAACTTCACCCAGGCTCAGATCAATGAGGGCCAGCTAATGTTTGTACACACTGGTATGTCATAAAGAAAGCAATGTGAATCTCAGATGTGTTTCAGTAAGAGGTTAACATGATTGTCCTGGCTAATTGTTACTGACTGTAAACCACAGACCATCTAAAAACTTTCCAGTCTGTATAATTAAAAAAGGAAGTCACATGTTTTAGTAAGGCTAATAATAGCAAACACTAGAGAATACCTATAGCTCATGTGGGTCACTTCATGTAAGGTCTATGGCCAGCTATTAGCTTCTTGCAGAACTCTTTCCTGACCATCCACTAAAATAGCACCTCTTCTCTGTAATTTTCCATCCCTTCCTTGGCTATCTGACATTATAATATAGTGTTATTGGTCTATTCATTTGTTATCTTTTTTCCCCCACTAGATTATAAGTGCCATGAGGGCAGGATCTTTTTCTGTTTTGTTCACTCTTGTATCCTCAGGACTTAGAACAGTGCATGGCACATACCAAAAAACCCCAAAAAAACCAAAAAACCCCAAACCTGTTGCCATTGAGTCAATTCTGACTAACAGTGACCCTATAGGACAGAGTAGAACTGCCCCATAGAGTTTCCAAGGAGTGGCTGGTGGACTCGAACTGCTGATCTTTTGGTTAGCTGCCTGAGCTCTGAACCACTGCACTACCAGGGCCCTGCATGGCACATAGTAGGTGCTTAATAAAAAATTGGTTCAAATAATGAAATAATATTGAACAACAGTTACGTACCAGGTATCTTTCCAGATGCTTGGGATACATTAGGGAACAAAACAAAAAGATATTTGTTGAATGAATGACTACATGAATGAATGAATATACCTGTAATTCTGAGAGACTCTGACATTAAAAGCCCTTTTCTTCTTCCTCCTGTTTATCAGTAAATCAATAAGCCAAACAGCCACTGTGCATCTGCAGAAGGGGTAGTCCAGCCACTTTGCTGGGCAGCCTGGCTTTGTTTCAAGGCTGCCCTTGCCCCTTGCCTGAGAAAGGAAGCATTTGCAGCCTGCAGGAGGAAATGGAAGAGAGTGTGAGCCAGGAGGGCATGATGGAAAGCTAAAAAGTCTTATCTTTTCAGCCATTTTTCAGTAATTTCTTTGAAAATATACTAGGGAAAATAAAAATAAAAACATCTAAATCCAAATGTAGTAATTTCCTTTGCAGTTAATGCAAACAATCCCCAAAGAGTCTGAAAATAATTTACTGTGTGAGTGTTCTCATCTAGTGGTTCCAAAACTGTAGCTCAGGACCTGTGTGGGTTAGATTTACTGCAGCAGGATCCTAACACTACCCACATGTGTAACAAAGCATTGTTTCTAGACTGACTGATGTTTTCCGCATTCATGTGGAATAAATAATTCTAATACATGACTAGAATTATTAGAAATAAATTATAAATAGTACTAATAAAAAACTAATACATTCTAATAGATAATTAAAATGTAACTGTGTGTAGATCTGCTGATTAGTAAAATATAATTCACTTAAAGAGGGAAGTTTTTGCCAGTTATGTGTGTTTTTTATTCTATATACTAAAAATTCAAGTATTATCTGGTGAGAGCCTAGAAAGTTTTCTTTTAAAAAAAAAAAATGAAAGGATTACCATATTTTCCAAAAGGAGAGAACAATTTTCCAGAGACTTACACAAAAGAAGTTTCAGATTTTTAAAACTATACAGTTCACAATGAGAAAGGATTATTGGCTTTCTGCCACATGCTGGGCACTGCAGAAGGTGCAGTCATACAATCCATTTCATTTACTCTTTAGGAGACCTCTGAGTGATAAGTAGTAATGATCCCATTTTAAAAATAAAGAAACAGAGGCTGAGAAAGATTAAGTTGGTCTGACTCTAAAGCTGGGCTTTCTCCCCTAGCAGCCACCCATTGAAGGGCAGAATAGGTTGAAGAACTGAAGTTGCTATTTGCAATGAAAGTAAAACCAAAATTAGCTCTCTGGACTGCTATATTTGGCAACTAACCAGGTTATGTTCACTTTTGATGAGTAGAGAAAATAATTTCTCCTAAAACAGAAGGAAGGAGAGTTAAAGGCAAGCTCAACATGAGACCCAATCCATTAGATTTCCTGGATGGATGCGGAGGCCAGCTAATGGCCCTCAAAGTGGCTGGTGCCCAGCTGCAGATGAGTCTCTTGCAGAAACCAGCTGATTCTCTCTTGGTACATCTGTCCATCAGCCCCAAACAAAGACTTAGGTTTAATTAGTCTCTCTTAGCATTTTATATTTGCAAAGTGCTCTGCCATTAATCTAATTTATTATTCCACATAACAACCTAAGTAGGCTGATCAAACCAAGATGTGGGAGGCTATGTGATTTATTTAAGATTGCCCTTCTGAAAGCACTGTCAGGACAAATCTGAGATTATACAATAGAAAATCCACATTTCAACCCTCTTCTTACCTTCCTTTGGTCATAATTAGTCTAATAGTTAGGGCACACCCAGCATAATATTCCAGCATTTTTTTGATATAAGTCTTTTTGATCCTACTTCCATTCATACTGATTAATGAAATGTTTGAAGTGCCTATTGACACTCCTTAATCTAACGTTTCATTAAGTATAATTTTCACAGTGCTGTTTCTAGTAAAAACAAGCAAACAAAAAATATGTGTGGATTCCTGTCCTGAACTAGGCAGACTCAGAATTCTTATTTTTCTCTTTGTGATGACTTTTGAGTGTGCTGGGGGAATTTTTAAAAACCTGTAACCTTTTTTGTGAGGAATGAGAACTCACAGGGTTTAAGTAGAGACTTAAGAAGCTGTTAAACCACCTGAGCTTCCTTTTGTTAAATCATATTATTAAGGAAGTACTTGCACGTAATTACAGAGTCTGACTGTGCCTTCTTTGTTCCTTACCACGTGTCGTCCCTGAGGTCAGCGAGGAGTACATTTCTATCCATTACGTGGTGCAAAGATCTGTGGCCCTTTAAACATGCCGCTTGACGAACATTTTCATAGGGTGGTGGGAATGTAAACATCAGATTTTATAAACAGTAATCTTGTCTCATGCTTTGTGAGTCAGATTGGTAAAGGACTCCTGGGAACTGGATCGATAGGTAGTCCATTTCAATTTCAATTTTGCATGTAAGTTAATTTATAACCTCACTGATATCATTAGTCCTTTGACAGAAGTATAGGTGTAGGTCACCCACTTATCTCAACAGCTAGCTTGAGATAGATAATTAGAAGTGCAGGTAACTATATTTACTTCCTCCTGTTTTGCTTTTCAATATTACCAAGTAAATATTATGAATATATTTAAGAAATTGCCAGAATGTGTGTATGTGTATGTACGTTTCTGTGTGTGTTTTGCATGCATGCATTACTTTTACTGGTATACACTGATTCTATAATAATAAAATACAAATGATGAACATGTCTTAAAATATTGTGAAAGCAATATTTGCTTTCTTTTATTATATTACAGGGAGGAAAAATCTGCATTTTAGACTTTTACTGATATTGTCCATGAGGGATGTTTGGGTTTTAGCTTTGTGTGTTTGGCAACATTTGATCTGGTAAACTCTGTCACTGAATTATCACACTTTCAAATTGATAAGGTTGCTTTGCAGGGAGATCAGATGGGAGTGAGGGTGAAAGTGGGTGGCTTTTCCAGAACAGCCCAAATGACCAGAGTGTAATTTCTTCTTTTAAAGGAGCCATGTCAGGAGGGTTTAATTTTCAGGTTACTGATGGTTTGAACTTTGCACCTCGACAAATTTTTAGCATCACAGCTCGTGCTCTGATCATTAGCTTAGAAGCAAACACGGGACTAAGCATCTTTCCAGGTAAGATTTTAACCTGAGTAAATTTTTGGTTTTAAGTGTTTTTCTGTTTATTTAGAAAGTTCTACCTGCGTAGTATAAAGTATCATGTTTTACTGCAAAGTGACACCAACAACAGTTAAAGAATTCTCTCATTGCAGGAGCTCACTAAAAGCAAGGCTGGGTCTTTCCCCACCCTTCTCTCTTTCCCCTCTGCTGTTCCTCAGAAGGGCCATATTGGTGAAGGAGTTGAGGGAGGAACCATTGAAGCAGTCATCTCTATGGTTCATGTGTACGATTTTTTCCTACTGTCTCCTTAGAGTCATTAAGGAGGTGAGAAGGGCCAGGCCTTGAGTACAGTGACCACCTTGTGCTGTTTTTTGATATTTCGATTAGAATGTAAAAACCCTGTGCATTGTCACTTGTTTAATTGTTGTGCATTAGCAGTAAAGCATAGATGGAGAAAGACACTAGTATTTTTATTGTCAGTGGCCACTCTAGCCAGTTGTTTTAATACCTGGAAAGGAAGCTTTTAAAAGATCCCTTACTGATGCCTGGGCTCCGGCTCACTCCAGTTGAATGGCAATCTCTGGGATAGAGCCTGGGCATCATTATTTTCTTTTAAGTCCCAGATGGTTCTGAAATGCGTCCAGGATTAAGAGTTGCTGGGCTAGGCATGGTACTAGTCCTTTAATTCTTACAACTATGTGAGATAGGTGATACATGCACAAGAATCTGGCAAGAGTTGTGGCTTAGAGAGCTGATGATGTAATTTGGCCATGCAGTCAGTAAATGGTACATAGAGCCCACGTGTTTCTATAGTAAATCCAGAGAAAGTCACTGTGTGCAACTAAATAATTTTTTAAAATTGGAATTTCAAATTTTTTATTGTTATGAAATATATTGTAACATAAAATTTGCCATCCTAACCATTTTTTAAGTGTACAGTTCAGTAGCATTAATTATATTCACAGTGTTGTACAACTATCACCACTATCTATTTCCAAAAATTTTCATCACCCCAAACAGAAGCTCTGTACCCATTAAGCAAGAACTCCCTTTTCTCCCCTCTTCCCAACCCCTAGTGACCTCTACTCTACCTTCTGTCTCTATAAATTTGCCTATTCTAGCTATTCCATACAAGTAGAATCATACAATGTTTGTCCTTTTGTGTCAGGCTGATTCCACTCAGCACAGTTTTCAAGGTTCGTCCATGTTGTACCATGTTATCAGAACTTCATTTACCTTTATGGCTGAATAATGTTCCATTGTATATATATGCCACATTTTGTTTATTCACTGATCAGCTGATGGACATTGGGTTGTTTCCACCTTTGAGTTATTGTGAATAATGCTCCAATGAACATTGTGTACAGGTTTCTGTTTTAGTCTGTGCTTTCAATTACTTTAGGTACAAACCTAGGAATGAAATTGTAGGGTCATATGATAACTCTAGTAGCTAAGGCAAATGGAAGAAATGGTGACGTAAAAGAGCTGAACAGAAGATTTCAAAGGGTGGCTCGAAAAGACAGAGTAACGTATTTTAATGACATGTGCAAAGACCTGGAGTTAGAAAACCAAAAGGGAAGAACACGCTTATCATTTCTCAACCTGAAAGAACTGAAGAAAAAACTCAAGGCTCTAGTTGCGATATTGAAGGATTCTATAGCAAAATACTGAATGACACAGAAAGCATCAAAAGAAGGTGGAAGGAATACACAGAGTGACTGTACCAAAAAGAATTGGTTGACATTCAGCCATTTCAGGAGGTAGCATATGATCAAGAATTGATGGTACTGAAGGAAGAATTTCAAGCTGCACTGAAGACATTGGCAAAAAACAAGGCTCAAGGAATTGATGGAATACCAACTGAAATGTTTCAACAAATGGGTGCAGTGCTGGAAGTGCTCACTCATCTATGCCAAGAAATTTGGAAGACAGCTACCTGGCCAACTGACTGTAAGAGATGCATATTTATGCCTATTCCAAAGAAAGGTGATCCAACAGAGTACAGAAATTATCGAACAATATCATTAATATCCCACACAAGTAAAATTTTGCTGAAGATCATTCAGAAGTGGCTGCAGCATTGCATTGACATGGAACTGCCAGAAATTCAAGCTGGATTCAGAAGAGGACGTGGAATGAGGGATATCGTTGCTGATGTCAGATGGACCCTGGCTGAAAGCAGAGAATACCAGAAAGATGTTTACCTGTGTTTTATTGACTATGCAAAGCATTCGATGGTGTGGCTTATGACAAATTATGGATAACTTTGCAAAGAATGGGAATTCCAGAACACTTAATTGTGCTCATGAGGAACCTGTACATAGACCAAAAGATAGTCATTCAAACAGAACAAGGGGATACTTTGTGGTTTAAACTCAGGAAAGGTGTGTGTCAGGGTTGTATCCTTTCACCATACTTAGTCAATCTTTATGCTGAGCAAATAAGCTGAGAAACTGGACTATATGAAGAACGGGGCCTCAGGTCTGGAGGAAGACTCATGAACAACCTGTGATATGCAGATAATGTAACCTTGCTTGCTGAAAGTGAAGAAGCCTTGAAGCACTTACTGATGAGGATCAAAAACTACAGCCTTCAGTGTGGATTACACCTCAATAAAAAGAAAACGAAAATCCTCACAACTGGACCAATAAGCAACATCATGATAAATGGAGAAAATGTTGAAGTTGTCAAGGATTTCATTTTACTTGAATCCACAACCAACACCCATGGAAGCAGCAGTCAAGAAATCAAACAACGTATGGCATTGGACAAATCTACTGCAAAAGATCTCTTCGAAGTGTTAAAAATCAAAGATGTCACTTTAAGGACTAAGATGCACTTGACCCAAGCCATGGTGTTTTCAGTCACCTCATGTGCATGCGAAAACTGGACAATGAATAAGGAAGACCAAGGAAGAATTGATGCCTTTGAATTATGATGTTGGTTAAGAATATTGAATATACTATGGACTAATGAAAGAAGGAACAAGTCTGTCTTGGAAGAAGTACAACCAGAATGCTCCTTAGAAGTAAGGATGATGAGACTTCATCTCATGTACTTTGGACATGTTGTCAGGAGGGACCAGCCCCTGGAGAAGGACATCATACTTGGTAGGTAGAAGATCAGTGAAAAAGAGGAAGTCCCTCAACAAGATGGATTGACACAGTGGCTACAACAGTGGGCTCAAACACAGCAAGGATTATGAGGGTGGCGCAGGACCCAGCAGTGCTTCATTCTGTTGTACATAGGGTAGCTATGAGTTGGAACTGACTTGATGACACCTAACAACAACATGGTAACTCTGCATTTAGCTTTCTGAGAAAACACCAAACTGTTTTCAGTGTGGATGTTTCCACTGTGGCTGCACCATTTTACGTTATCACCAGCAGTGGATGACAGTCTTAGCCAACACTTCATTTTCCAATGTTTTGTTAATAGCCATCCTAATGCAAAGGAGGAGCCCTGGTGGTGCAGTGGTTAAGAGCTTGGCTGCTAACCAAAAAAGTCGGCAGTCTGAACACATCAGCCACTCCTTGGAAACTCTCTGGGGCAGTTGTACTCTGTCCTATAGGCTCTCTGTGAGTCGGAATAGACTCGACGGCAATGGATTTAGTGCCTGTGAAGTGGTACCTCTTTGTGGTTTTGATTTTCATTTTCCTAATGACTAATAGTATTGGGGAGCCCTGGTGGCACAGTGGTTAAGAGCTACAGCTGCTAACCCAAAGAATGACAGTTCAAATCCACCAGCCACTCCTTGCAAACCCTATGGGGCAGTTTTACTCTGTCTTACAGGGTCATTATGAGTTGGGATTGATTCAATGGCAACAGGTTTTGTTTTTTTTTTTTTTTTTTTTTGTGGAATGGTGTCAAGCATCTTTTCATGTCTTATTATAACTAATTTTTAGAAGACAACTATTTTATGAGAAATTTGAAACTTTTAGTTGCCTTAAGCGTTTGATCTCATGAAAATAAACCTGATAGAAATCCACTTAAAGATGTGTTAACCCAGATTCGTCTATTCTGTATCTCGTTTTTTTGTTGTTGCTGTTATTCCTTAACTTTTCTTTGAGAGTAAGTATGATGTTTCTATCAATTCTTTCAAGGCAATTAGGGTGCCATTTTGTGTTTTAAAATATAAGCAAACAAACCACTGCACCCCAGTTATCTTAAAAATCTGGTAACATATCTTATTTTAAAAAAAGTGCCCAGATGACAGGGAAAATCAGGTTGCTGCAACAGATTAAATACCTTTCATCTATTCTAGCTAACTGTTTCTGTTTAGTAATTAAAGACAGTTGAGTTAGATTAAAGGCGAGACATAGCCACTGTAGCTTAGAAACATTTGAGTTTCTGGTGCTGTTTTACTGAATATTTGTCTGGCAGGAGAAGTATATTAAAGTGGCCGAAGTTCCCTCTTCACCTTTGTTGTTGTTGCTAGTTGTGATCAAATTGCCCTGACTGATGGGTACCTTATGTATAAGAGAATGAAATGTTGCCTGGTCCTGAACCATCTTCATAATTGTTGGTGTTTGAATCCACCGAGTTCACCTTTGTGGAGTTACACAAAGCGTAGTTTTCATAGGCCTCTGTTTAATATTTAGACACAGCACTAAGTAACTATCTCCTTTCCCTTTACAACACATCCTGTATCTGTCCTGCCCTTGCCTGTCCTTTGTCCAAGGACCCTCCAACTGAATTTGCATGTTATCCTCAAATCCCAAAGTGAGCTGCTCCTTTTTATGCTCCCACTAGCATGTGAGCTTTGTTGTTCTTGGTTTTTGTACTACCTTCTCTCGCCAGACTGTGACTTGTTTCCAACCAACTCCAGCTCCTGGCTGGTAGGGAGGAAGACTCATTTTCATATATATTACCGCTGGCTGGGTCCCTGGGTGGCACAAACAGTTAAGAGCTTGACTACTAACCAAAAGATTAGCGGTTCGAATCCACCCAGTGCTGCCATAGAAGAAAGACTTGGTAATCTACTTCCATAAAGATTACAGCTAAGAAAACCCTAT